GAGAGGGGGTGGAGGCCCCATCCCTGGGAACATTCCAGGCCAGGTTGGACGGGGCTGTGAGCAACCTCAACCTGATGTGGTTCAAGGTGTCCCTGCTCCTGCAGGAGGGTTGGGCTGGGTGACCTCTGGGCATCCCTTCCCACCCAAACCATTCTGTGATTCTATGATTCAGCTCTTTCCCCCCCCCGGCAGGGAGCTGGCATACCAGATTGCTGAGCAGTTCCGTGTCCTGGGGAAGCCCCTCGGCCTGAAGGACTGCGTGGTGGTGGGCGGCCTGGGTGAGTGCTGCTGCGTGGGGGGGGGAGCCTCCGGCCCCGGTAGGGCTGGGTTGGCAAAGCACCGAGCGCCCGGGGAGGCTCCCTTACCGCATGGTGGGTTTCCTTTGTGCTGAGGAGCTGTTATCCAGTGCCCAAGGCAGCGGCGGCTGGTGGAAATGCAGAGAGTGACATTTCTTAGCTTTGCAGACCAAATAATTTTCGGGTCTGTGTTCAGTTGCCCCTAACTCGGCTCTGGTTTGCGCTGCAGACATGGTGGCGCAGGCGCTGGAGCTCTCCCGTAAACCCCACGTTGTCATCGCTACGCCCGGCAGGCTGGCAGATCACCTGCGCAGTTCCAACACTTTCAGCCTTAAGAAACTGAAGTTCTTGGTAAGGCAGCTTCCTGGCCTTTTTTTTTTTTTTTTTTTTTAATGTTTTATTTAAGGTTTTTAGCTTTGTAGGTATGCATGCAGATGATCCCGTTTATTTTTGGCTGCGCCTAGGTCTTGGATGAAGCCGACCGGCTGTTGGAGCAGGGCTGTGCTGACTTCACCGCGGATCTGGAGGTGATTCTGGAGGCTGTTCCAGCGCGCAGGCAAACGCTGCTGTTCAGCGCCACGCTGACCGACACGCTGAACGAGCTGAAGAGCCTGGCCGCAAACAGACCGTTCTTCTGGGAGGCTGTCTCCGAGTAAGCCCTCATGCGCTCTGCTGAGCGGGTGAAGAGTCCCCTTTCCTCTCCGTTATCTTGTCTCCCTTGCCTTGCCTCTTCATTTGCCAAACCGGCGCTTCTTGGTGCTTTGCCTTCCCCTCCCGGCAGGGTGCGGACAGTGGATGAATTGGACCAGCGCTACTTGCTTGTACCTGAAGCACTCAAGGACGCGTACCTTGTCCACTTAATCCAGACCTTCCAGGACGAGCACGAAGACTGGTCTATTATTATCTTTACCAAAACCTGCAAGTGAGTGGCATTGTTCCTCGTGATGGCTCTTAATGTAGGGGTGCCCTTACGTTTCTGGTTCCGATTCCAAATTCCCACGGTATTTGGTGCTAGGCTGGGATAGTATTTGCTTCCTTCGTCTATTCTGGAATTTGGTACAGAAACGCCTTTTCCTTTGAGTAATTTGGGGCTGAAGGTCCACCCAGAAACGTACCATGCCAGAAAGGCCGAGCTGCTTTCCCTCCCCGTGTCTTCCTTCCCTCCTGCTGATGGATACTGGAAAGGGGATGGGGAAGATAGCGCTGCCGGCTCCCCTGGGCTGTTCCTTTCCTTCGGGGTTTGAGGGACTGGGGTCGAGCCGGGGAGCTGGTGACATTCCCCTGAGTGCAAGTGGGAATCCAGTCACTCTCTGGGGTGAGCGGGTGTGGAGTGGGTTGAGGGGCTGCGGAGTGGGTGTCCCCCTCCCTACCCTTGTCAGAGCACCTCTGTAACTAACTGCGTGGTGGGGATTGTAGCGTGAGGGCTTCTCGGGGAGCCCCAGCTCTATCCTGATCCATCAGCTTTACATTTCCCTGTTATATTCTGATTTTTTTTTTTCTTTCTTCAAGAGACTGCCAGGTCTTGAACATGATGCTTAGGAAATACAACTTCCCTTCTATAGCTCTGCATTCCATGATGAAACAGGTGAGTGAGGGGACAGATCTGGGAGAGAGATGCGCCCAGCTGCATCCCTGAGCCAGACGTCTGGCCAAGCCCTACAGATCACAACGTCCCTCATACAGCCTTTCCTCTTCACAGCGGCAGCGATTTGCAGCTTTAGCAAAGTTCAAGTCCAGCATCGTTAAGATTCTCATTGCCACTGATGTTGCTGCCAGGTAAGGGAAAAATGCAGTCTCTGTTGCCAAAGGTCTTGAGCCTGCTTTTGAAGCACCAGGACTGCTGTGGAGATTAGGCTGGGTTTAGCATGAGGGGAGCTTTAAATTCCCCCCACTTGGGTAGGACAGGGTTGTTCACTTCCATTGTAGAACGCCTCTGAGCTGCGTTTTGGAGCCCACTTGTGTGTGATGTAGCTCTGATCCTGGCTTGTTTTGCTGCGTGTGTGTGTTTAGCAGGTGAATGATTTCTCTGAGGCTTTGTGTGTTCCCTGGGTCTAGGAGGGAGCAGGGCTACAAGGTGACACTGCGTTTTGGGGCTGTGAGAGAGCTGCATGAGGAGAGAGCTTGTCCTAGAGTCAGCCCGAGCCAATAAAGCCTATATTCAGGAGAATATGGGGCTCTTGGAGAAAGCAGAGGACAGGAGCTTAAACTGTGTGTATTAAAACAGTGTTTCTCAGCTTCTGCTCTCTTTCC